CACACACACACACACACACACACACACACACACACACACACACAAACAAACACACACACCACACACAATCACACACACACCACACACACACACACAGACACACACACACACACACACGGACACGGACACACCGTCGGGGTTCAACCTCCTGCTGAGTCGGCTCATCTTGTGCCATGCATCAATGAGAGAATCAGTGAATCTTCCGCTAGAACATGGGAAGATACGCAGCTGTGATTTTTTTCCTGTGAGCATGTCGACAGCAGGGTGGGTTCCTTTTTTTTGTTTTGTTTACATGCTTACCACAGTAACCACTCGCACACACACACGGTCGGGGTTCAACCTCCTGCTGAGTCCGCTACTATCGTGTGATGCAAAGGAGAGAGAGAACCAGTGAATGTTCTGCTCGAACATGGAAAGGTACACCGCCATGACTTTTGCCGTGTTAATGTCGACAGCAAGGAAGCGACAGCGGAACCCACTCACACACACGCACACACACACACACACCACGAACGGCCGAAACACAGGTCGGAGATGCCACGTTACAAAGGAACCGTTTCTCTGCCAACGTGCGTGCACGCGCGCTATGGCAGGCTCGTGGGCAGCCAGGACTGACTTCCCCTCCAGTTTGTGCATCCCGGTGCCCTCGCACCTACCACAGCCCAGCACTGCCGCCACCACCATCTCAAAACGAACAGGCGTTAGGTTTTTTTTTTTTTCCGAGTGCATATTTTTTGCCTTCTCCCCAGGGTTATTTTGGCACCTACCGCCTACGCCTACCGTAGGCAGTAGGCGCGCCTACCAGTCAGGCTGACCCGTAGGCGGACCCGTCGGCGGTCGGCAGACTGACAATTTTTTCTTAGTTTTTATTTCTGATGACATGGTTGTGTGCGGCTTGAGGAGAGCAGCCCAAATCCGCAACAATTTTCTGGGGGGGTGGCAGGGGTTCTAGGGGGAGGTATAGGGGGTTGTAGGGGGTAAAGGGGGGGGTACGAGGGTGCTAGGGGGAGGTATAGGGGGGTTATAGGAGGTTAAGGGGGATTATGAGGGTGTTAGGGGGCTGTATAGGGGTGTTGGGGGGGCCTATGGGGGTGTGGATGGGGTTATTGGGGGTTCTGGACCCAAAAATATATATATATATATATATATATATAGTCAAACACAGCTGCCCGGTAAACCGTAGGCAGAGAGGGAGAAGAGGACAACAAACAAGGGGCTGAGGCATATATATTGTCACATAACTTTTATTTATTTATTTATTTTTTGCGGGGTGCCTACCGGTCAGCGTCGACGGCGCCTACCGTCGGCTGGTCGGCAGACGACAGGTCCGCCGTCGACCATCCGCGTGGCTACCCTGCTTCTCCCCATGTTGTTGGGGAGGCAGGATTTGTGTTACCGCAGTACTGTTAAGAATGCAGAAAAACTAAGAAACACAAAAACAAAAAAGTTCAAAAAACAAAGCCTACCATGGATGGCCTATTTCTTGGACCTGTGGTCCAGTACTTCTAGACTGACGTAGACCGATACCGGACTGGGCGAGGATTGGAAAATCGTTATTCCAGAGCCACGGAAATAGGCCTGGGTGAACTGGTGGTTTAAACAGTGTAACATAACTTTTCCCAGTTACAAGCACAAAACCTGAAACCATAAATCAAACAGAAAAAGGACGAGACAAAAAAAAGCCTCCCCGCGGAAAAATCCTCTCAGAACACGAGTCCCCTGAAAGATGAACTGACCTCTCAAGGGGTGCTTCTTGCACATCATGCAGCAACACATAGTGCTTGAGCACTTTCGGATCCATTGTACCGTCATTGAATAGTGCTGGGAGTCTGTCCGGGTTCCATAGGTCATTGCACGCCTTGATGGGGTTCGCTTCTGCAGAAGCTACAGCAAGCAGACCTAATCCAGAAGGCAAGGTGAAACAAGCACGACGCAAAGCAACATCAGTACATTCCAGCTCATTACGGATACTATGCAGTTAGGTGTTTCCCCTCAAAAAAGGCCTACCTACCATTTCAAGGTTTCTTGTTAACGTGTGTGTATTGCTACTGACCTCGGTATGTGCCCATGGGGTCATCTGAGGGCACACCGATGCTACGAGTTGTCCAACTCATACTGTGGCTGTAATGAACCCAGTCTGGAGAACCACTCGTCAAATGTTGCAGTACAAGATAACTCGGCGCTGAATAATGTCTCCAATAATCACAAATGTGATCTGTGATTATACAATGTTTCCTAACCAATAGACGAAGAGAGGGGAGGGAGGATAGACGTTAGAGGGTGGAAGAGTAAGTATCCATCAATGACCACATAGATAGTATCCACTCGATTCCCTCTCCTTCTCCAGGCCTCCCCTCGCCTTCACGTCAGCAAACAATGTCCAAGATATGAGCCTGACACAGTCTGATCACATCAGACTGCCACGTGGCACAGTCTCTCATGAAGACGTCTCAGTAGCGTGCAATGTCGACATCAGTAACAGGTAAGTATCCTCTCTCTCAATCAATCCACAGATCCCAATCTTGCCCTTGTCGTGTCCAACTCAGCAATGTAGACAGTGTGGCAATGCCACATCAGCAATGTAGACAGGTGGCATGCACCACATCAGCAATGTCGAAGACAGCGTGGCATGCGCCACGTTGACAAGCCAGAAGGCAGTCTGGCGCCAGAGCAAGAAAGCGCCAGACACGAGATGCACCAGTCTCGTGTCGTCGTCGCACAGTGCCAGCGTCTAGCCAGCATCAAGCCAGCATCAAGTCAGCATTGCATGACTGAATGTTGACGCCCGGAGGCAGGGGCCTTAAGGAGTGCTTGACGAGGTTGACCTGCCTCTGGTCTCCCACACACGGTGGCTCAGATTCACTCACAGCCGACGGCCTGGATCTCATACACTTAGAGACTTCCACTTGGTCCGAATGCTGTCTGGATACCTGCATACCAACAAGTGTGTGTGTCTGATCGGCGGCCTGGGCTGGGTCCATGCAGACTTTGACTCGCTGGGCCGTTGGGCTGTTGACTTTGGTCAACTCTCGGGCGCAGGGCCCCTGAACCCAACGTGTGTGGGGTCCTGCCGTTCGGAGGCCAGTGTCGGCCTGCGGGTGGCCATTAGACAAATAGCGAGGCATATTGGAGTGGGTTATTGCATGGCTGTAGATACAGTCATTCACATCTAGAAATGTCCTTGTTTCAGCACATCATGAGACACGGAGGATAACCTACTTGCAAGGGTGGATCTGTAGGCGAACATTGACACCTGGACTTCCAGTGACATATCTGATGTAATTACGGAAAAACAGCACAGAGTCCACCCGCATCAAGGAGTAGGGAAAGAGGATTGACGAGTAAGAGAGGGAGGAGGAAGGTGTCCTCAGAGAGTATGGGTGCACGAAGGAGCAGTGGCAGTTTGCAGATATCCAAACGATTTACAGAATTGGTTAGTACCCATCAGGGACAGTACACAAGATGAATTCCAAGTCCAGAAGATAAAGGGAACAAAATGACTTTAGTGGATGGGCGTCCACCAAAGTAAGGGATCAGGTGTTTTTTTTCGAGCCTTCAGAATAATTTTTTTCGGTAAGAGAAATTGCAAGAAGGGGATACATTTACCTGTTCTTTGCAGAGAAGTGCAGAGCAGAGTCGAAGAGGTGATCCTGCCATTATTTCATGATGGTTTAAGCACAATGTGTGGCACATCGCATAAAAAACGGGAAGTACCTCAAACACAAAAGCAATGAAAAGGTAGGCCAAAATCCCACAATATAGGGTAGAGATGCCTGTTGAAGAGTAGCTGATCAGTGCTTCAAGAAGGCCAGGAGGTATAAACAGTGAAGGCAGTTCCTACTCCTAATGTAGCCACACAGTCTTGGTGAAGCTAGGAGGTTGATGCTAAGGGTCTTTGACTGTGGATTATCAATGAATTCAAAAAGGGAAGGGAATTGAAAAAAAACACTTGTTTTCCGGAGCCCAAAACACATAGGAGGCATACAGCGCTCATTATCAATGAATTCCATAAAGGTTTACGTCAGAACGTCGGTGTCACAAGATGGACGAGAATGACTGTAACAGTGTGCCTGCCTCTCTCTCTCTCTCTCTCTCTCTCTCTCTCTCTCGCTCGCTCGCTCGCTCGCTCGCTCTCGCTCTCTCTTGCACCTGGACACGACTATGATAGCATGCTGCGTGGCACCTTTCCTCCCCTCTGCACGACCTGGCCGGGATGGAAAGTGCAAGGCTGCAAGAGGAGAGAGAGAGTGAGATTGATGGACAGAGGCCCTCCAGCGAGGCAATGGCACAGGTGCGGGAGATGCAGAGAGAGGGATTGACCTGCACAAACTCACCAGTCAGAAAATGGCATGGGTGCAACAGACAGCGAGACAGGCTCCCTCTCTCTCTCTCTCTCTCTCTCTCTCTCTCTCTCTCTCTCTCTCTCTCTCTCTGTGTGTGTGTGTGTGTGTGTGTGTGAGTGTGTGTCTCTGTGTGTGTGCATATACAAGTGTGTTTCATCATGTTCGCTATACACAATTCCACGAGTGTCAAGTTCGCTATACACAATTCCACAAGAAAAGCATGATTGTGCCAGACTGTTTCGCCGGACTTACACCGACTCATCAGGAGGTTGAACCCCGACAGTCTTCCCAGGATGCATTTGAACTTATGGAGGACTTTACAGACAATCCTCCAATGAGGCGTGGCCACTGAGCAAATCACAGGCGACACATCTAAAAAAATCAGAAAAAAATAGCAAGTTTTTTTTCAATGAAACACGAGGGCGCTCTGGGTGCTGTGTTCCACTGTGGGAAAGAAGAAAAACAACGACTGGGGCCTGCCGTTGTGCAAAAACAAAACAAAACGCTGATACAGAACGCTATATGTACTGATTTATTTTGCGTTACATGGTTCACGCCCAGACCAATGGCTGAATTTCTTATGTGGGGATATGTTTGGTGTGTATTTTCCAACCATTCTGCTTTACGTCATATATAAACAGATAATTGTTTTGAGGGACATCCATTACAAAAAGAGTTTCCCTTAAACCACCAGTCTATTGTATACGAATACCATAGCAAAATCTACAGTGATCAGACAAGGCCTAGGTTCAGAGGTGAAGTTCGGTGGGCCCAAAAAGATCTATTGAAATCAAAACGGAGAAAACAAAAAAAAAAGGGAAACTGGGCTGGGCTACTAGAAAGAAACAAAAGAAGGAAGACAAAAACAAAAAGATTTGGCCGTGATAGAGGTCAGATACATTCTGGAAAGTACAAGTGTGAGTTTGCCCTCAGTGACGGCCTTTCCTGAGAATGTGGACTGCACCCTGCCTCCTCGCATGGCACTAAGAAAGAAACGGAAAAAAATAGAAAAAAAAAAAACTTGGCCGTAATAGTGGAAGTGGTCAGATAAATTCTGGAGAGTACTGCTGCGAGCATGCCCTTAGTGAGGGCCTTCCCCAGTCAAGTGTTCTCTCTCTCTCTCTCTCTCTCTCTCTCTCTCTCTCTCTCTCTCTCTCACGTGCCCTCCGTCCTTATTCATCTTCCCCCTTTCCCCCCTCCCCCCCCTTCAACCTTCAGCTACCCTCCTTTCCTCCTAGCCCCTCACCCCTCCTCGTTGCTCTCTCTCTCTCTCTCTCTCTCTCTCTCTCTCTCTCTCTCTCTCTCTCTCTCTATATATATATATATATATATATATATTCTATT